CATCAGCCGCTCCAGCACTGGACTGCCCCACTCCGCACCTGACAAATAATCACAGTAATCGATCAGTAACAGAAATATAAAAATAGGTTAGAGGAGGGGATGACTCCCTTAATCTACTATTGTCAGTATTGCGGTAACTCTGACACGCTTAAGTTAATAAAGGGAGGGAGGGCTTGTTTTATCTCTATTGTAGTAAACAGTAGCGTGTGGGAACGTACGTAATGAGCTAGTAATTACAGCGAGTCGTTACAAAAGCGGTGCAGGCTGCTCGCTCGCTGCACTGATTGCGAACTGCATTGACGATCAAAAGCTTCCCTTTAAAAGCTATTTGTATTTTATTGTCGTAATCAACTACTGATTATAATTATTTATTGTTTTTCTCTTTTTATTAAATTGCTTTATGTGTATAATTTTTAATGTATCCTCTTCGGTGTCAGTTTATTGGTTACCTGACTCACCGTGTACATCATCAGATTTGGTGGCGATGGGCTTCTTCTTCTTAGAGCCGCGTTTGCCTTCGAAGTCGAAGGGCTTCATGTAGATATCTCCGCCCGCAGCGTCGGGCCCCGCCTCGCGCCGCCGCCGCTCGTGCTCCTCGTACTCCTCCAGGTCTATGTGCCCTCTCATGTACTGGAGGAAGCGTTCTCGAGATTTGGCCTGCTCGCCCATCTCCTCCGCCGCCTTCCTGATGCTCTCGGGACTCTGGAGGCTTACAAGCGAAGGGTCGTTGTTGACTAAACTCTCGAAGGACGCCTCTATCTCGAAGTCGTCCACGTCGTTGGCCTTCTGGTTCCAGTCAAAATCCGGAATGGAGCGGGCGAAACGCCGCGACCTGTCCGGGGCGAAGAACGGTCCCGCACCGCCGTCGCCACCCAGATTGGGCTTCCCGCAGCCCGCGAAGATCTTCTGCGATATCTCCTGGTTGTGCTCCTGGAAGCTCATGATCGCCTCAGATATCTTTATGTCGATAGGCTCCACCACCATCGCTATGTTGAAGGGCCCTTGTAGACGATCGGCCACCTTCTCTACGGAATCTAAAATGAAAATAACCTAAATGTTATTATAATAATGGTAAAATTCTTTAATCCTGGTGATGTAAGAACCTGGATATTCACTACTGAATGTCGTATATTATGTAATTCTATGAATTTAAGGGAGCAGTTAGGCCTTTCAGCTGTCATGAGACAATCAATTTTCAAGTGTTTTGTACCAACTGACCAACGTATGCGTCCCAGAGGTCGGCGAGGTCTGCGTGCGCGTGCAGACAGCCGCGCAGCACGTTGTGGCAGTAACGCGAGCATGCAGGCGCTGTAACACCGCCGCACGCGCCGCACCATCGCAGCCGCGCCCACGCCGCGCCGCACTCGCTGCTCAGCTCCACCTGACCACACCACGACACGTCACTTTAACCTCATGCAAATGTTACTTTGTTATTATTAAACGCATAAAAGTAGTACAGAGAAAGGTGAAAAAATCTTGGTAATTTCAGTTATCGTTATTAAAATAATGCTAATAACGCTGTCAAAAATTACGAGGATTTCATTTAATTACGTTGATAGAATGATAATTACAGATAATGTAATTAGTGTGAAGACAGCATGCCAATGTGTTAAAAAATATCTTTATTGGGTTTGACAGATTGAGGTTGGTTTTACCAAAGTATTTCCCGCGTAAACTGATAAACACGTCTTGCTACCAACATTTAACACATTCGTTGTTGCGATGTTATTTCAAGGTTTTTCTAAACTGAGAATTCTAAATTAGCACAAAATTTTCGTCAGCGATTTAGGGTGTAATTAGTGCTCGTATCTTTTGAGTGTATACTGAAATTTGTCTGTGGAAATACTAAACAATAATAGTAATAATACTGTAAAAATATGCGTAAACTTTAATAACTCATAGATAGCATAATAATAGACTAGGCATATATTACTTACACCTACTTTTTTCTAGAATTCAAAATTACACGAATTGTAAATTGCTTACATAACAAACTGTTTAATATTATGTCGAAAAAGAATATAACCTATTTAAGACTGTCTCGTCTCCCGTAAAAGTACAGCGTACCAATAGAATAGTAAAACAGAACTAAATCTAATATCAGAGCAATAAAAATAATCTGACACAATACATATCGTAAGACCCAGTAGGCCTACTAAATAACGAATAAATAACATACTCTTTTTTTGACAAAAAATCGTTATTGCGTAATAATTAATTGAATGTTTTGTAGATAACCTTTAGCATTATTCTAAGAAATAAACGCACTACGAAAATCGACGTCTACGCACGAAATGATAACAATTGTTAACATATTTGTACTAAGCCTGTTATAATATAACGAAAAATTAATGCGTTTGTAAGCAATTTACCTAGCCTCATAATAATGAAGGATGTACATGTAATTTGTAAACGAACTGGCAACCCTATTTATGACTACGTACTATTTAAAATAAGGTGACGTCAGACTTCAGTCGCGAATTTAAATGACAATAATCACGTCCACATCAAAGATAATTCGGCAATATAATTCCGAGAAGCGCACATGTATCTGTTGTGCTCGCTGTAATTAAATTAATAATTGCGGATTGTGTGTCATCCGGGCGCCAAGCGACAACCGGGATGTAAGGACGTTGAGTCAGTGATGGCTGGCGCATAGTAATAAGCGGAGCGATTAACGCAGCGGTCAGTATGACCCAAGCAATTATTTATATAGAAAACGCGAGATAGGTTGCTGTTTGGAAAAAAAGCTTTGGTATCGTAACGACTGTATCCAATCGAATCTTGGCCATCGCTGTTAATTTCAAATATAGGTACAGTCAGCGTCATATAGATCGTCACAGACAAGATATGCAAATATATAGGTACACCAAAAGTAATCAATTATATCTGTACAACAAAAGTCCTCAAAATAATAGATACATTCACCCTGCTCAAAAACATCGGTACATACACAGCGTCAAATATATGAGTACATGCAAGATGCTCATAAATATTGTAGCAGCCACAGCGTCATAAGTAACGAAGCAGTCAAGGTGCGCAAAAATATCGGTACATTTGACAAAATTGAACTCTATCTCGATATACTTGTGATACAATTTGGAATAAACTACTTCTGTTACATTCATTTGACACTTTGTATTAACATTATAGGTTGTCCGGAAAGTTCGTTCTGATTTTCGATATAAAGCTTATAATAGACTGTAGCTGAAGTGGATTCATTTTCGGATTTCCACCATTATCAAACGTCACAAAAATTTCTATATTGTAAATAATTTCATTTCATTGGTTGAGATAAAAACTAATTTTTAAAATTTTAGCCAAAAATAAAAGACGTTTTAGGTATAGAGTCGTACCAATATAATTTAAAAACATTTCCAAAAATTTAAGAGAACAGGGTTTCAATTTTCTTTATAAAGCGGCACGAACTTAATTCAAAGATATGTGTGAAGTCAACCAACCCGCACTTGGCCAGCGTGGTTGACTATGGCCTAATCACCCTTAACTTAGGGTAGGCTCCGAGCCCCTCGGTGGGGACGTATAGTGAGCTGATGATGATGATGACGAACTTACTGGGCAACCCAATATTTTTCTTCTCCTGTCATAACGCTTAAATATAAAAGTTTGTCACGCCAAACATGACAGATACGTATTAACTAATATCAAATTTTGCCTTGTCACAGTATATACTGGTTTGGCGCAGTATTCTAGTATGTTTGCCGTAATATGTAAGTTTACCGGTTCGAATCACAGGCTACTTTTTTTTTATTTTATCAATCACGGGGTTATTTTTTCATTACCAGTAAAAATTTGGTAATGTAAAATTTTGCTCGACAATTTTTTTTATAATTTTCGCTGTCGGGTAGAAAGAAATTTAAATAAAGTTAACAACAATTAGGTCAGACCATCGCGGGTGAAGTGAGTGGGCGGAGCGTGGATTGTCTTTGCGGGTTTTAAGGATGGTACGCGCGGAAACTATACGTACAAGTGTTATCTACATATGTGTGCGCGCCCACGCACACTGGAATGTTTATTGCAATCGACCAAAAATTTGATGTAGTTTGGATATTGACATTCAGTTTTTTTTCTTTGTTTCTTAAATATAATCAGTATCAGTAAAAGGTAAAAGTAAGTGTTATTTTTACCGATACAAGTTTAACAAACATGAGTAATAAACAAATTACATGCCAATAGCATCGCTTTATCTCCTTCATTTTTGTTTGAAATAGAAAAGTACTTTAACGGTCAAACTCATTAG